GTCCGCCTCGTGCAGCTAAGTTGGCTGCTGCTGCTGCTGCTGCTCTCAATGCGTGCACATGCAACCCAGCGATCCTCGTTGCTACTCGTCGAAATTTCGCAGCATGACAGCGGTCTGCAGAGCCAGACAATGGAACGGCGGCGCCATGTGCTTGCAACTCTCCCACGACGCGATCGATAGCGTATGCATGTGACGAGAGCAGTCCCACGGTAGACGGTATTTCAGCGTGGTCAGAAGATGAGCCTCGGCGAGCATCACGATCGCATGAACCAATCAAGTCCACCTCCAACCACAGATGGACCCCGCGCGCGCGGCTGACGATCCCGAATCGGCGCATCGTCGTGCCTGGCAATGCACGCCCAAGCAGCGGGGAATCAAGCGGCGCTTTTAGTCGAGACATTGCCACGGCCGCTTCCCGTAGCTCGCTCTCAACCTCTCTGCCCCGCCGCGAATATTCCAGCGTGCAGACGCCGGCGTAACAATTGTAATTTGCCCCCGAGGCTCTCTTTGGACCCTGCATGCTCGCCTTGCTCGCCGACTAAGTCAAGAGTTAGCATCACACTCTCGAGCACACATGCATGCGAAATACGAAATGACATTCAACATGACACCCAGAAAACAACAACAACATCGCGAGAATGGAGTGCAATGCAATGCAGGCCTGGCGGATCACTTTCGCGCCTTGGCGGCCTTCTTGTTGAGCGCCTTCTTCTTCTGCTGCAGCTTGGCGGTCTCTTCGGCGCGCTTGCCCGACGAGTAGTTGAGCTTTTCGTACAGCTTGCGCTGGCGATTGCTCATCATCATCTTGGTCATCTCCTTGGCCTCCTGCTCGTCGCTCTTGCGCGCCGCCGCTCCACCGGCGCTGCTGCCCTTGGCCTTCTTCTTGGCCTCCTTGAGCGCCGCGGCGTGCTTGCGTCGCATCTCCTCCAGCGCATCCTCGCCGCCCGCCGCTTCCGCCTCGAGCTCGGCAGCGTCCAGCAAGCCAGCATCCGTGGCATCCGCCGGATCGGCCAACAACGCTGCAAGCGCAGGTCGCGACGACTCCTCGGCCTTGCTTGTCGGCTCCTCGTCCGCGTCCTCGTCCTCGTCCTCGTCGGCGATCTCCTCGTCCACATCCTCGTCCTCTTCGTCGTCGTCGTCGTCCGACGGGGCAGCAGCAGCATCGGCTTCGAGACCCAGCTGCTCCCTCGCCTCCTCGGGCACGTAGCCACCGCGACGCGCCACCTCGGCATCGTCGACAAACGGACTGAGATGCGGCGGCAGAGTCTGGCCCGGTCCGTACGCGCCAGCAGGCAGCAGCTTGCGTGCATTGGCGCAGTCCACAATGTACTGCGGCTGCACGAATACGCGCTTGCCCGCGTACTTCTTCATGCCGCCAGCGGGCACGGGCCTGTCGATAATGTGATGCGTGATCCTCGCGTCGTCCTCGTCCACCGTGCTGCCGGCACCGGCCACCATGTCCCAGCCGATGCGACCGGGGAGCGCGCCGAACGAGCGCAGCACAAACTCGATCACCGCGCGCGGGCATTCTCGCGAGATGTAGAAGACGTACGGCGTGAACAGGCCGTTGGCCGCACCCTCGCTCGCCGCTGAAGCTGCCTGGATCTCGTCAAATGTGGTAAGGTGCGCCGACGACTCTTGCTCCTCGGCCGACTTGGACGGCTGCTCCACAAACGTGTCCTGCTCGGCCGCGTCTTGCTGCTCCTCCTCCACCTCGTCCGCCTCGTCCACGTCGTCGGCCACGGCACCAGACTTGGCGATCGCCTTGATCTGCTTCTTGACGTCCCTCGCCGACACCTTCTTGCCGGATGCGGTGATGACGGTCGAAGAGGTCGAGGGAGCGACGGCCGCCGCGTTCTCGCCACGCAGAACAGCCGCGCTGGCCGGGTCGAGGCTGAGCGCACCGAAGCCAGCAGCCTGCTCGTCCTTGGTGGCGTCGAACCTGGGCGGATAGACGAGGTTCTCGTCGGTGTACAGCTTGAAGAGCACGAAGCCCAGCAGGGTTTGGTAGAGCTCGAGGAAGGTGTACATGATGCGGAAGTCGATATCCGAGGGGATGTGCTGCGTGAAGAGGTAGGGGACGAGCCATGTGATGGTCTCTCCATTCACCTCGGCCTGGAAGTAGATGCCCTTGATGCTGAGGAAGACCTTCTTGAGCGCCTTGGTCTTCATGACGTACAGCTGCCACTCGGCGCAGAGGCGCGAGCATGTGGCGATCACCTCGGCCGATACCTTGTCCGTGGCGGGCAGGTTGGCAAAGAGGGTGAGGAGCGAGAGCGCGTCGTCGATGTCCTTGAGCGAGTCGCGGAAGGTCGGGTAGCGCTCCTTGATGATGTGGTCGAGTCGGTAGGTCGGCTTGCTCTCGTCGAGGTTCTTGGCGGCGGCCCACTCGCGGCGACCGATGGCGCGCGAGAGCTTCTTCGCAAATGTCTTGTGCTCGCGCAGCGACTGCAGCACGGGCTCATGCTGGAGGTACGCAATGTCCTTGGCGAAGAAGAAGGTGGTGGGGGCGGAGGAGCCCTTGTTGGCCTTGCGGACGCTCTTGGGCTGGCGTGGGAAGATGCCCTTGAGGATGCAGAGGCGGCGGAAGTCGGCGAGCGTCACCTGCAGCTTCTTGATGGCCTGGTTACGTGTGACATAGTTCTTGGCCGCGCCCGACTTTCCCTTTTGCTTGATCTTGGCCATCTTGATGGATGTGCGGATGTGGGAGTGTGCGAGGACGAGGGTCGAGGTTTTAGCGTCGATGTGACGAGTCTAGCAGGTTGCGACGGCGTATCGAGTGGATCGAGGCGGGCCTGCGGGAAGAAGAGGTATGCTTCGGAACGATGGGAGTCGTGTGGACTGCAAGAGGCAACGAAGAGTCTATCGCAATGGCAGCGCCGAGGAAACTTGTGCTCGCAGGAAGAAGAAGAAAAAAAGATGCGCTTGTGGAGCGTGCAAATGCGAGGTTCAGGGTCGAGCTCTCGTCCAGTTCCAAGCCTCGCCAGGGTGCAGCGCTCGCGGCCGCGAAATTTTCGGTGGAATTTCTGCAAAAATTTCCGCCCGACAGCGCTCAGAGAGCTCACGTGATGAAGGTGAGTTGCCCGAGTTCCGCAGTGGATCCCGCTCTAACATCCTGAAGGGTCGCGCCGCGCGCTGTCTACGCCCTACTGTTGGTGAGACCCTGGAGGATCCCTCGGCACTTTTTGCTGTTCCTGACAATCCGCTGTCTGCTATGGGGCCCATCAACGCACCGCCATCCAGCTTTGTCAAGCAAAGGCGGAGAAGAATGACTCCGCCGGGAACACGTTTGCGGAGTCTGCATGCCAAACAGCACCGGCTTCTCTCGACGCTCAGTCAGGGCATCCGGGGGAGGTGAGACGTCGAGTCGCCGATGGAAGCGAGTCCTTCTTGAACCGAGTGTCAGGCATTGCTGGCGAAAGGGCGACGTCTGCCGACAGACGAGGTTGGGACTCCGACGCCGATGCTTTGGTCGCCATTCTCAACCCCTGCCTCTTTGGCGCGTCGGGTCCTTTCTCTCAGCCCGGGCTTCTGAAGGATCTGCAAGTTGCCCCATTTCTCCGAGCCACAACGACTGTTGCACCTGCGGCGATGCCTGAGGCGATGGTTGCCTTCTTTCCGGATCTCAAAGAGCACGATGCCGCGACGAGATTGGCTTCTTTGGTACGGCGTGTGGCGCTACAAAAGCCCAAAGCCAACGGAAGTGAACGCGCGGGCTCGCTGGCGCTTGGCAGCTGCAGCTGTGCAGTGGGGGCGGCGACAGGAACGCACGCGTGCAGAAGTGCGTCGCCGCCATGCATTGTTCTCTCTGCCGTGGAATTCGAAAAGCGCGCAGCCGAGGCGTCAGAATTGCTTGGATCGGCGGATCTGCGACAGAAGAGGGACGCACCGCCCTCAACGCTTGGAATGGGCAGAGGCAGACTCAACCAGCCTCGGAGTCGCGCGTCGGCTCTGCCAAATTGGCCCACTGCTGCACTGCACTGCACTTTTCGCCTTGGCCCTTTGTGCCTCGAGTGTTGGTCTCAAAACATCTGCCGCTCCTCAGCCCACCAGCAGCGACCGGATGCCCGCCTGCCTGCCTCTTTGATTTTTTTGCGGCGTCACACCAGCACCACCCCTATCCCGCCGCCCTCGAGCGCACAGCAGCGTGATCAGCGTGAGATGGAGTTGCTGCGATCTGCGCCCCAAAGGCCTCCTGACGAGGATTCGGTCTGGCGAGAGTGTGGGCCACACTGCCACACAACTGACAGCATGATGTCGGCGGGTCGTGCCTGTTTCAGCCCATCTGGTTCCCATCTCGTTCAGCGCTCGCCTTCCTTTCTCACCATATCCACTCTTGACCCTCCCCTCCTCTAATCCTTTCCCCCCCGGTTTCGTCCTGTCCCCTTTCCATAAAGGTCCACCAGCACTCTCACCGTCGTCACTCTTTTGACCCTGCACCTGCCAACACCCGCTCTACCACGCCATCTCCACCGTCCTCCTTCGACTTCGAACAGCTTCATCTAAACACCCTTGCTTGTAAGTATGCCAACGACATCTGCTCTCCAGATCCACTTCTCCAACACATCGCCAGGTCACGATTGTTTCCAAGCAGCGCATGCTGGCCAACATGACTAACCCAGTTCTTCGCATGCTCGCCCTTGTCACAGTTGCGTTCCTCACCAGCACCACCATGAAGTTCTTCTCTGCTGCTGCCCTTGCCCCTTGGGCCCTGTTTGCGCTGTCTAGCGTCGAGTCGGCATCGGCCGTTCCCGGTATGGTCAAGCGTCAGTCGAGCTCGTCGTCGTCATCGTCGGCAGCCTCGGCGGTCTCGCCGCTCACGCCAGGCCTTACCAACGAGGGATCTCCGCTGCTCATCCAGTGGGACACCACCACCAACCAGGCTTGGAAGAGCATGGAGATCAAGTTCATGACCGGCTCCAACCAGAACATGACCGAGCTCTACACGGTCGCCACCGACGTCGACGGCACCTCGGCTGGTGCAGGCAAGCTGCTCTGGACCGCACCCAACGTCGAGCCCAACTCGGGCATCTACTTTTTCCAGTTCACCCACGACGGCGAGGACCCGACCTGGACCACTCGATTCGCCATCGCCGACACCACGGGTGCCGTGACCGCGCCGCCCAACGCCAGGCAGCCCGAGGGCCCCGCGATCCCCTGGGGCGTGGGCAGGATCGTCTCTGCCGCTTCCGCCGCTTCGTCTTCGTCTCCTTCGTCTGCTTCTGCTTCGGGAAGCGCGGCTGCCAACACGGCCTCGGCTTCGTCTGCCCTTACCTCGTCTTCGTCTTCGGCCAGCGCAGGCTCTTCGACTTCGGCCAGCACATCCAGCACCAGCTCCAGCTCCAACTCGGCACAGACGGGCAACTCGTCCGGCTCCAACAGCCAGACCACCTCGGGCTCCACCTCGACCCGCGCGGGCTCGGCTGCGCTCGTCGGCTGTGCCGTCGCCGCTGTGGCCGGAAGCCTTCTCTTCTAGATGGCGCCATTGATTCCGCTTCGCTGCGCACCTCGGGGCTGCTGCACACTCGTATTCCACCTTCGTTTCTTCTTCCCCACTTGTTCCGCCTGTGCCCCGTTTCTTGGCAATGGTAGTGCACTTGCCGCAGTTGACAGTTCGCAAAGCACTCTGGCACCGACACGGCAGCAAGTGTCTGAGAGACCAAGATTTGGGCTTGACTCGCAGCCGCAGATTGAGTTTGTGCGGGGTCATCACTCGCAGGGTCGCTGCTCATGGCGGATCGCACGGGCACAAGCTCGTCCTCGAATGCTTTTCAGAAACACTCCCTACACAGGCCAATGGGTGAGAGGCAGCACTGGACATTGACAAGGGGCGAAGGTCTACGCAGTGCAGTGATGAGAGCACGGGAGGGGAAGAAAGTGATGTCGAGGGGGCTCGGCACAGGGCACATGAATCTATCCGAGGAGCGGACGAGAAGGCTCTACCTCTGGAGGGTGAGAAGACCGGGGCGGTAGGGGGCGAGGTCGTAGCTCGGAGTAGCGACGGACTTGTCGCGGCCCTGGTAGAGGAGCTGAAGCCTGCAGGGGTCGACAGTCATGGTCTGATCGGGGTTGGAGCGAATCAGATCGCCGTGGCTGACATCGTCTGTCCACGAAGCACCGCTGTTAGCCTTGCCAGCAAAGGGCGCCGACTCGTCACCTGCATTGACGGTCCATTTGCCCTCGAGGCTGTCTGCCGTAAAGGAGCGGAAGTAACGTCCACCGCTACCGATAGCCTCTACGATCATCAGATACTTGTTCTGACCCTCGAGAGTGTACACCTGCACAGCCTCGAAGAGCTTAGCCTTCGTATCGGACATGACGACCTCCGATGCAGTACCGAAGCTTCCGGGGAAGTTACCGATGGGCATGCACGATCGATAGATCTTGCCGTTATCACCGGCAAAGAACAGACACATCTTGGAGCTGTCACCAATCAGCGTCTGATCAATCGGTCCCGTATCGCTGTCAGCGATCTTGCCGGTGAACAGAGGCTTTTCTTCCGACCATCCATTGGGATTGGTGGGGTCGCTGCTCGTCATGTAGAAGAACGATGCTACGCCCCACTGCGAGGCCAGGATCCAGGTCTTCTTCGGCGAAAAGTAGAAGATCGTAGGTGCAACAGCCGAGGTCTTCATGGCCGTTTGCGTGGCAGTAGCCATATCAGCCCAGGTGGAGAAGGGCGCAAAGCCCATCGAGCCGTATTTGGTACCCTGGTCGTGCGTCGAGGCATACACCAGGTGCTTTCCGTTGTACGGTACGTGCGTAAAGTCCTTGAGCGCCACCCAACCATTGGCAGGCTGGGCAAGAGGGGCCGAGGGAATCCATTTGTACGAAGTCGGCAGAGCACAGGTCTGTCGACGTTCAGCGGTGGGCGAGGCACCAACCAGCGTAGCTGCCAGAGCCACACTGATGGCAACGAGCGAGCTCGAGATCTTCATATCGGAGAGAGTCTAACGAGTGGAGGAAGGAGCGGTGAGAGAGGTGAGGAGGGGTTGTAGGACGGAGGGGAGAGGAGAGATGTGGATGTCTTGCTTGGACCAAGGCGCCGTCGAGCAGTGCGTCTTTATACCTGTTGCTACTTGGATGTGGGTGCAGCCCAAAGGGGAGAAGCGCACAATAGCTGTGCCGTCCTGATCCATAGCAACGGGCATGTTGGTGGCGAACGCCGAGGTTGAGTTCCAATGTTGCTAGTGAAGGCCTTCCCCTGAGCAGGGGTGCACGTCGGGCGCAGCTCGCAACCCCACTTCATCCAAGAAAGGTGGGGTTGTCAGGGCGACAATGACGCGCCACGTTGGCGTTGGCGCATGTGGGTTCTGTCGCGCTTAGCGCCATCGACCCACCTGTAGCTTGACCGGAACGCCACAGTCCGGTTGCGATCCACGCGCCGCTCGTGCAGGCGAGCACGACGCTTGCAAGTGATGATCGTTGATCGTTGCAGTAGCTCCGAGGTAGGATGCTAGCAATGAGGTCGCCGGTCGAAAAGAAGCGAGCGAGAGGTGATGAGATTCGGCTTCATTTCGCCATTTCTTCCGCTTCCTTCTGCTTGAGCCCTCTCGCTCTGCATTCGCAGCTGCATCTACGCCCGCACAGCTGACTCCAAGATCGAGAGGCGATCGCGATCAACGCCGCGGTGGGAGTTTTCTGATCAGTCTCGTCGGGCATCGAACGGTGTCAGCATTGTGCGGAAGGGGGGAAAGGGGGGGCCGACATTTGGGTGCGTCGATCGCCGGTCTCATGGCACGAATGCAAAGCTGAGAGTTGCGGGGTGTTGCATCGTGTTGCATGGAACCACGTCGCTTCCAGAAGCATGCAACCGCCGCTTAACTCAAGTGCGAGCCGAGAATGCCGGTGCGGGGTTGCGCAGCTGGGCGTGGCTTTGCTGGCGAGTGAAGCTTGTTGGTCCCAGCCGAGCGGGAATCTCATCAGGGTTCAGCGGAGCTTCATCGCGGCTTGGGCGACGGAGGAGGCCCCGAATTTTTGGTTCTCGACATGCGAAGCTCGTGCTTCGATGACAGCTGCCCGCTCGACCTCAGCATGGATGCGCGGTGGACCCTGCAGAGCTGCGAAGAGCTGTTCCGCCGCATGCTCGGAGCCTGAAAAGCCGCCCAGGCGATACAGACGAGGGCAGCGAGAGCAACGCTGGCGCAACGATCGCTTGCAGGCGCTGTGTCCAAGTGAGGTGAGGACAGTCATCTGGCGTGGAGCGAGCAACTTTGCCGTATCCACGACTGCGATTGCAAGCGTGATGGCCGAGATTGCCGAGCCACCGCTGTGCCAGTCTACATGCTGACTCTTGCCTTTGCCGCGAGGCTTCGATCGAGGGTCGCTACGGTCGTGGATCGGGCAGGACGTTGCTTGCGCTCGATTCAGCCAGCGCCTGCTGTTGGTCTTCTTGGCGAGCGTGCTGTGACGCGACCATCGTGTTGGGCTGCGAGGCCAAGGCATCACGCGATGTCTAACGAAATTCCAACCAGCTGTCGGCTCGTCTTGGCGGCTGAGCGTCGTTCGACATTTGCTGGCTCCCAAACTGGATGCCGAGAGCCGAGATTCCGTTGCTAAGGGCTTTGGATTCGGAGCCAGGGTCCGTGGAGCTTTCTGACGTGCGGATTCTTTTGGATTTTGGGGACTGAATTCGCGCGGAAGTTCCGCAAACCTTGGTCAAGAGCTGAGCTGCACGATGCCGAGCGGCCAACGTGTGTCGTCAGTGGCTCTGACAAACGCGCGCCCTCAGTTTTGCCTGAAATTCAACCATCACTCTCGCTGGCTCACATTATTGGCTCCATCTGCGCCATTGACGCAGGGCCGGAGATAAGCAGGTCCCACTCGAGCCTCCTTCCTTCTTCATGGATGCTGTTGTTTACCCTTGGGTTCCGTGCAGATTCGAGCGAGAGTCAAAAGCCAGATCGCGCGAGTCAAAGAGGATAGCGCTTCCAGAGTGCCGTGCCGTGCCGTGCTGTGCTGTGGATGTGGGCGAGTGTGCGGATGTGCGGGTGGGAGCGTTGGCCGAAATGAGGCCGAAAAAAAAAGGTCGGCGTGGGCTCCGTGCGGGGATGGAGGGTGGCCCATTCACCTGGAAAAAAGACGATTTTCGTCGCTCTTTTTCCGCGCCGGCTGCTCTGGCGCGGGCCACCCAATCAATCCGCGCCCTCTCTCTGTCGTCGCCTGCTCGCACTCGCCTGCGATTTTCGGGCATGCCGCTCTGAGACCGTGGGCGGCCCAGCAGTGTGGGCGCTGCCGTCATTTTGCTGCTTTCTGCTGCTGCTGCTGCTGCTGCTGCTGC